ATCTCCACCTTCCCATGCTGGAAGGCACCCATACAGGAGTAGGTGGTGCCAAGATCAATGCCAACTCTAGGTCCCTTCGACATGGTTGCTTGAGTGTAGGCCCAGTTCTACTGGCGAAGAAATCATACAAAAGCCTCGAAAGCTGCCAGTGCATTCAATGAGTGAATGACACTTTCAAGAAATAGGTTTAGGATGGTGTCTTTTGTAGAATGCAATGAAGAATAGGTGTGATAAAGGACAGGCAAGCTGCATTCATAAAAACTTTAAGTCCCCTCAATATATTTGAGAATCTTTTTTTTATAAAGATAAACAAAACTTCAGAGGTGGAAAAGCTGTCTTGCCCCTTTTTAGTCAGTGTTTCAAAAGTGATTTCTACAGAACATTCATGTCTAACTTATTTCCATGAATGCTTGATCCCAAGAGCAGACACAGGACCTCTCTGCTTTGTATATTTTGTTGGTTTATAACAACTAAGATACATGGATATTTTTTGCCAATTTAATTGCTATTAGTACGTGTTTGCAGTACATAATGATTACAGACATCATGAGGCATTGGCATGTGTACATAACATATCTTAATTTTTTTACATCTTTTCCCCCTCCCTTCTCTTCTGGGTGCATTTTCCCCCTAACCTCCTCCCTCCTGTTCTTCCCCCCCTCCCCGTTATCTATCTTTTTTGCTCCTTATTCATATTTTGGAGGAAACATATGATATTTAAGCTTGTGTGTATGATTTATTTCATTTAACATTATGGTCTCAAAGTGCATTTATTTTCCTACAAATGACTCATTTATTCTTCTTTATGGCAGAGTAGTACTCCATTGTGTATAAATGCAATATTTTCATCATTCATTCATCTGTTGTTGGACATACACTTCCAAGATTAAGCTATGTGATTTGTGCTGGTTAAACATGGGAATACATATATCACTGTAATATGATGTCTTTAACTTTTTTTGGAAGATACCTGGGAGGGGAATAGCTGGGTCAAATGGTTTCAATTGGTCTTGTTTTAATTTTTTGAGAAATCTCCATACTAATTTCCATAATGGTTGTACTAGTTTATAATCCCACCAACAATGAAGAATTCCTTTTTTCCTGCAGCCTGCCAGCATTTATTGTTGTTTGATTTACTGATGATAGTCATTCTTTCTGGAGTAAGATGGAATCTCAGTTATTTTAAACTGCATTTATAGAATGAGCTGAGATGTTCAATACTTTTTCATTTATTGGCCATTTGCATTTCTTCTTCTTAGAAGTATCTGTTCATTTCAGTTGCCCATTTTTTGGACTGGCTTTTAATTTTTTTGGGGGGGCAGTCTAATTTTTTAAAGTTCTTTGTACCTTAGATCAGTGATAGTATGAACCTTTTAGAACTTTCAATGATACAAACAGCCTGCTGTGGCACATGTGCCATAGGTTCACCACCACTGGCCTAGATATTAGTTCTCTGTCCAAGAAATAGCTGGCAAATTTTTTTTTCCTTTTGTAGGTTGTTTCTCAGAAGTTTTAATTTGATATGATCCCATTTATTGATTCTTGGTGTTATCTCTTGTGCAACTGGGATTCTGTTTAGGAAGTCCTTGCCTACACCTATGTCTTCAAGAGTTTTACCCATTTTATCTTTCAGCAGATTATTTCTGCTTTAATATTTAGATGTTTGATCCATTTTGATTTTATTTTAGTACATTTTAGTGAGAGATAATAGGTCTAGATTCAATCTTCTGCAAGTGGATAGCCAGTTTTCCTAGCACCATGTGTTAAAAAGGCTATCTTTCTTCCATGGTAAGTTTTTTGCCCCTTTGTCAAAGATCAGGTAGCTTAATGTGTTTGGAATTTTTTCTGCATCCTCTCTTCTGTCCCACTGATCCATGTGTCTTGTTTTTTCCCCCCGAGTATCATGTTTTTTTAAAAAAATCACTCTGGTCTTATAGTATAACTTGAAGTCTAGAGTTGTGATTCCTCTTAGCTTGCTCTTGTTGCACAGGATTAATTTTGCTATTCTAGGTCTCTTCTGGTTCCATATAAGTTTCAGGTTGTTTTCTCTAGTTTTGTGAGGAATACTATTGGTATTTGACTGACATTATATTAAATCTGTATATCATTTTTGGAATTATGGCCGTGTTGACTATATTAGTTCTGCCTATCCATGATCGGGGGTATCTTTCCATTTTCTGATGTCCTCTTTGATCTCTTTTTTTTTTTTTGATACTGGGGATTGAACTCAGGTCCTTGCGCTTGTGAGGCAGGTGGCGGAACCACTGAGCTAAATCCCCGACCCTCTTTGATCTCTTTTTTCAAGGTACTATAGTTTTCATTGTAGAGGTCTTTCATTTCTTTTGTTAGGTTAATTACTAGGTATTTAATTTTTTTTAATGGTATTCCCTAATCTCTTTCTTGAATTTATTAGTAGTGTACAAGAACACTATTGATTTTTGTGTGTTTTATATCCTGCTATGCTACAGAATTTGGTTATTAATTCTAGGAGTCTTTTGGTGAAATTTTTTGGGTCTTCTATGTAGAGGATTATGTCATCTGCAAAAATTGATAATATGACTTCTTCCTTTCCTATACATATCTTCCCTTTCTTTCCTTTCTTTCTTCCCTTTCTTTCTTTCCTTCCTTCTGTCCTTCCTTTCTTTTTCTTTCCCCTCCTTCTCTCCCTCCCTCCCTCCCTCCCTTCTCTTGCCTGATTGCCTGTTTCAAAAATTATTGAACAGGAGTGGTAAGAGGGGATATTGTTGTCTTGTTCCTGATTTTAGAGGGAAAGCTTTCAGCTTTTCTACATTATAATGTTGGCTGTTGTTATATTATAAATAGCTTTTATCAGATTGAGATAAGGTCCTTCTATATTTTCTTTAGGGTATTTAAAAAATCATGAATAGATGTTGAATTTTATCAAAGGGTTTTTCTTTGTTGATTGAGATGATCATGTGATTTTTGTTCTTGATTTTGTTTAGGTGATATATTGCATTTACTGACTTGTATATATTGAACCATTCCTGCATCTGTGGGATGAATCCTACATGGTCATGATTTATAATTTTTTTTTTTTTTATGATTTGTTGCATCCTGTTTGCCATTATCTTGTTGAGGATTTTTGTATCAATGTTCATTAAAGAGATTGACCTGTAGTTATCTTTTTGGTTGGATTCTTTTCTGGTTTTGGAATCTGGGTAATGCTAGCTTCAAGGATTGACTTTGGGGATACTCCTTTTTTTATTTCATTAATGAGTTTGAGGAGTATCAGCATTAGAGCTCTATAGTTCTTGTGGAATTCAGGAGTGAAATTATCAGGACCTCAGCTTTTCTTAGTTGGTAGTTTTAAAAATTATTACTTCCTCAATCTCATCACTTGATATTGGATTACTCAGGGTTTTTATGTCTCCTTGGTTTAGCTTTGGTGTCTAGAAACCTACCCATTTCTTCTGAATTCTCCATTTTATTATAGTACAGGTTCTCAGATTACTAATTATCTTTTCGTTTTCAGCAGAGTCTATTGTGATTTCGTCTTTTTCATTTCTTATTGCATTGATTTGATTCTTTCCCTTTTATTGCTAAGATTGGCTGGGGGGTTGTCTATTTTGTTTACCCTCTCAACGAACCAGCTCTTTGATTCATTGATTCTTTTAGTCTCAATTTCAGTAATTTCCACTCTGATCTTTATAATTTCCTTCCTTGTACTAACTTTGGATTTGGATTGTTCCTGTTTTTCTAGAACTTTAAGACACATGATTACGATATATATTTGGGGTTACTGTTTTCTGATGTGTGTATTCACAGCTATAAACTTCCCTGAGAGGACAGCTTTCATTGTATTCTATAGCTCCTAGTATGTTATACCAGCATTATTGTTTATAGGAACTAATTTGTTCTTTGATTTCTTCTGTGGTCAAGTGATTATTCAAGAGAATACTGTTTAATTTCCATGTGTTTGCATAATTCCTGTGGTATCTTTTCCCATTGATTTCTAGTTTCATGGCACTATGATCAGATAGTATTCATGGTATGATTTAGTCTTTTGCATATACTTAAGCATTCTTTATGGACTAGCATGTGTTCTATTTTGGAGAAAGTCTCATGAAGTGCTGAGAATGTGTGTCCTATTGTTGAGAGGAACACTCTGTAAATATCTATTAAGTCCATTTTTTCGAAGGTTGGTTCAACTCTGATACTTTGATTTTTAGTTGATCTATTTGTGACAGTGGGGTATTGAGTTCTCCCATTATAATTGTGCTGGTGTTTATGATTTTTTATGGCAGTAGCATTCGTTTCATGAAGTTGGGCATACCAGTTTTGGTGCATATATATTTATAATTATCTCTTCTTGTTACATTGCTCCCTTAACCAATATGTAGTGACATCACTTCTTTGCCTCTTCTGATCAGTTTTGCCTTGAAATCCACTTTGTCTGAATTAGGATAGCTACTCCTGCTTTTTTTGGATTCCCATTGCATCAAATTATTGTTTTCCATCCTTTGGTTTTTAATCTTGTATTTCTTTCTGGATTTTTTCTTGTATACTGCATATCATTGAATTTTGTTTCTTTTTATTAGTGTCTTCTGTAAGCTCCCTGATTACTTTTTTCATTACCTCTATTATCTTTTTATATTTTCTGTGAGTCTACTGAACACTTTTAATTTCCTCTGTTATCCTAATGAATACTTTGGCTGTGTGGCTTTCGCTTACCTCCCCCCAAATGCCCCATGTACCAACTTTGGGGGAGTTGTAAGTATTGGGAGGCATTTTGTTGTAGAAACACATCTTCTCATGTTTCTACTGGTTTTTTGTGTGTGTGTGCTTAGGTATGTGGTCACTTATAGTGGACTTTGCTAATAGCACGGAGATCTTTAGTCTGCTTTTCCGTGATGTACTGAGGGCATGGCTAATTATTGTCCTATGCTGGTATCCAAAGATCTGATCACTTTTGTTAATATGGAGGGGGGGATGAAGTATAACTGGCCCGGCACCCAGTTCTCCAGGAATGGACTACAGAATTATCAATGTCACATGTATTGGAATACATAGAACACTTATTACAACTATGAGGCCCTGACAATATCAAGTAAATCAGCAAAAGTAATATCATCCAAGACAAATTGGATATTGACATATCATAAGAACCAATAATGAATGACAGTAATCTTAGAAAACTAAAAAAAGAGAAATTTACAATTATAGTATAAACCCTAAGACAAACCAAATACTGACATAAAGCAAATATCTACTAAATGCAATAACAATACCTCTACTAGTGATAGGAAAGAATTTAATAGTAGGAACATAGAGTTACCTAACTATATAAAGTTAATGAAGCTTAATGGTTACACTACTAAAGATATAGGGGGTTGGGAATGAGAGAATGCAAAAAGAAAAATTTGAAAAATTAAAATGGGAGATGAGAAGGAAGAAAGAAAAGTGAGACAAAGGATCCTACTACCAGTATAGAGAAGGATAAGTATAGAGGTAGAAAAGGTAACAGAAAAATAAAAAAATCAATGAGAAATAAAAGATAAAAGAAAAAAAGAAATGACATGAAGAATGAGAAATAGAAAAGAAAAAAGGAGGAAAAGAAAGAAAAAAAAAGTCCAAAACCAGAGGAAAAAATTTTTTTTTTGGTCTGTATTTTTGAATTCATGGTTTCCTTCTAGTATTTGCAGTCTTAAGAGTCTAGAAAGTCTTAATTTTCTCTGCATAGCCTTATGGCTGTGGGCTTGTAAGGTGCACCCCCTATTGAGGCTACTCTGTTTACTTGAGGCTGTAGCAATGTCCAGGCTGAGACGTCTTTGCTCATGTTAGTAGACAGAAGAGGCAATTAGATCTCATATCTGTGCTGGATGTTGGCAGCAGGACAATGACATAAGTACTTAATGCTGCAGGCACTTTCAGATTCAGCTGTTTCTGATTGCAACTCAAGCTGGATCTGGCTTCTCACTGTGGGGCGTGGGGCCTGAGTCCCTGTCTGTGGCTGTCTCCAGTGGCTCTCACCCAGTTACTGTGGGAGAATAACACTGGGAACCCTGAAGTGGAAGTTGTTTTTCAGTTCTTCTGAGTCTAAGACTTAAATAATCAATTCCTTCCTGAACTGTTTGATTGAGCAGTCTCATGATGTGCCTGCCATATGAAAGGAGACGTCTTGGATCAAAAGCCCATTATGGTTTTTACAGTTCACAAGTGTCATTGGTTCTGATGCTGTTTCTCCCTTGATCTCCCCACCCCAGGCACTTATCTTGCTTCTGGGGAGCCTGGGTCCCCTCCTGTGAGCTGCAAGAGGAGGGGAGAGTCCAAGTTGTTTCTTTCTTTTTTCTGCATTATAGACTGTTTTTCCAAATTCTGTGTAGCTTCTAATTTTTCCTGTCAGTTCCTTCCCTATTCCCAGTGAGCTGCTTCTCTTTTTTTCTTCCACAGTTATTTTCCAGTGTTTAGATCTCAGGCTGAATTTTGTTACCGATCATCACTCCAACATTTTCTTTCTCTCTACATGGATTTTTTTTAAAGTTTACTTTTAATATACATTAAAATAAACAATAAACGTAGCAAAAAAAATCAAGGTTCCAAGAGAGATTAGTATTTACAAAATGGTTTCTGGAGAGTGCATCTACAATTTATTTTCTTAAACGCTTATATTCCAAGAGTAGTACAATTAGCCTGTTACGCAGGGTTTTAATCTTGTTTGCATACTGTTCCTGAAACAGTTTTTTCAGCTTTTGCCTTAACAAATCCAAAGATGGAAGATGATGACAATCTGGTATATTCAACATGAGGTGAAAAAATTCATTCCACATATCCAGATGTGGAAGCCTGAAAAGACAAAGCATTAATAATGGATCAAATGCAGCCTTCAATGTGCAGCAACTCTGCTCCTGCATCTAACTTTCCCATGTTTAATAAAGCAACTGTCACCCAAACCCAAATTTGCACATAAGAATGGCAGAAGTGTATATAGCATAAATAAGAGAAATTAATGGTCTAATAAGATGTTGTTTTAAACACACCTTCTTCCAAAAATATCATGTGTTTTTTAGCAGTAGCTCTTTGATTGAAAAACTTTCAAATTTTTTGTTTTTTAAGAAAATTTATCTAAGCTGGGTATGGTAGTGTATGTCTGTAATCCCAGCTACTCGGGAGGGCAAGGCAGGAGGATCATGAGTTTAAGACCAATCTGGGCAATATAGTGAGACCTTGCCTCAAAAAGAAAAAAGGAAATGAAATCTATCTGGTTTTGGTTCACTATCTAAAATGTGATAATCTGGTCACATGGTTCTAAGGAGCCTAACTGCACATGGCCAAGACCAGCAGACAGGCTGTACTACCCAGAAAAGAGCACAGATTTAAGAGTTCTGGCAGTACAGAGGTTTAAATTAAATGCAAAAACTGTAGAGCATGGAGAAAAGACACAACACACTGCAGTTGTACTCCAGGTAGAAACTGAGTCCCTATACTGAAGCCTTCGAGGGCTGGGCTTCAGGCTTTTCTCTATACTGGTGGCCAGAGATGAGAGCTTTCTGAATAACAATATGGTCCTTCAATTATGAGCAAGAGAAAAAATGAAGAACTTGCTAAATTTGATGATTCATTGTGCAGAATAAAGCATAGTTAACAAGTTTTTCTCCAGGTATGGAACCTAATTTTATTTATGTATATTGTCCCATGAGATTTTATAAAATTACTGCCAACTCTTTCCTTTTTCTATTTTGGAAGGGCCTGGGGAGAGTGAGAGGAATCCCAGTTTAAATATTTTCAAGAAAGTATAAGCATATACAAAATTCCATTAGGTTGTACACATAAGATTTTTGTGTTTGTTTTTATAACTCAAAAAGTTAAGAGAGGTATAAGGAATATAAGGAACATGCATGTACTAAATAAAACACTACTAGCAATGTGTCTATACAACATTATGCCGGGAGAGCTAGCCATATCCATTTTAAAGATGAGAAAATAATCTCAGAGAAATGAAAGTCACAAAAATCTGGGACTTAAAACCCTGACCTGCAACAGGAAGCTGTCCTATACTACTCTGATTTGTAAAATACCTTCACCTACATTATTTCCTTTAGTTCTTGTAAGAATCATCTCAGGAAAGTAGAATTGGTGCAATTCCCATTTACATGACAAGAAAACAAATAAGCAAACAAAACCCTGAGGCGCAGTGACATCAGAAGAGGTAACTCTAAAAGGCCAGGAGAAAAATTATTGAGTGTATAGGATGCCAACCACCCAGCCAAGAGCTTACAGTGTTTCTAGGAGGCTATCAGATGTACCCTGTTCACAAATAGGGAAACACAAGTGATGATGCCATGTGACCTGCTCATTGCCCAGATCCAGGACTGTGCTGTCACCACACCACCCAAGGCACAGGTTTCTGTGGGTGGCAGAGATCCTTTATGCACCAGATGGAACCTTCCATTCTACTGTATTTATTCTCTTTTTACTGTGGCATTAATGCTAACACCCACCTTCTAAAAATGCCATCAGGCTTCCAGACTCCTCCTTCATTTTTCACTTTCATGTAAGTGCCAAAAAGCATGCAGTACACAGTTGCAGCAACACCAAAGTAATCAACCTATTGAGAAAGCATGGGTATATATGATTTAAACAGTAAGTTACATATAAGCATATTAAGATGTACCAAAATAAGTAATCACAGATTTACTTTTAAAGAATGCTGGAAGCCCACTGATATACCCCACTGAATAGTCTATCCAGGCTCTGCCTGAGGCTTCCATGGGCAGCAGAACAGCACTGTTCCTGAGGTAGCCCCTGGGAAATCCCTGGTCTTAAACTAGTGTCCTTCTCCAGTTCTTTGTTCTGCTTCACAGGGGCAAATACACTTGAATCCCTCAGCTTGAGAGGCCTCCCAACTCCCTCTCTCAGGACTCTGGGGTTTGTTCTCTGACTGCACTCCAAGGCCTCTCTGGCTTTGCAAAACATTCCTAACTCCAGCATGGTCCAAATCTACAGGACAGCAGACTCTACCTCTGCTTTTCCTACCTGCCACTCCAAGAGGTGCTAGACTAGCAACCAGCTGCCTAAGGGCATAGCAGGCCGCAACAGCATACTAAAAATAAGACTCACTGGTTGTTATTCCAAGTTCAACTTCATATTTATGCAAATCAGAATTATCTTTACTTGTCATCTAATATTCTAATCTGTTGAAAACCTCCCTTTAGACTAATCACACCTTTTGGATCAGGCACTGCATCCAGAGGAAATCTAACTATGAACCAAATTTACTTCCTTGTCTGCAACAGCAGCAGAGTCCCAGCAGGCACTGGCTCAGTTAGTTTCCTGGAGTCAGCACATGGCTTCCCTGTTAACTCTGGCCACAGAGGGGAGGAACCAAGCTAATCTGCTTTCATTTCCATAAACCAAGCTGGGTCCTTACAGCATTACTTCCTTTTCAAAGGGTCCACAAACCATTAATTTTCCTAGAGTGAAACTCATAGAATAGATCTGCTTCCTCTCTGATAGCAGAATCTATAACTGAGTAACAAAAAAGAAAAACTCTTCAGAAGTAGAATTTCATCTTCCTCTTCAGCCTTAAGTTCCATCCCTCCTTCAACTGCTGCTCAAGAGACCAGTTGAAACTGACTAGCTTCTGAAATTCATTTTGAAAATCTGGTTATGTGCAAGAAAAGGAAAATGTTTTTAATTCTCTTGCTTTAGTTCCATACCTGGTAGTTCCATGGTTTATTACTGAGCATTTCAATACACTGGAAACCAGACGTTTCGCACCTTGCTGTAAATGTAGTTCCTTTTGGAAAAAGTTTCATATCTATACTCTGACCTAGGTCAATCAGTGCCAAGCCAGCAGCTAAATCTTCATCTTCATCATCCTGCTCCAAAAATCTAAAACACAAACAAGGGCCAGGATACATGAATACAGATAAAAAGTTGCTAGGCAAAAGTTAAGGAAAGAACAATTAAAAGTACCACACTTGCCTATTTCCCAGTATGAAATTGTCGGGCTTAATGTCTCCATGAATGATTTCACAGCTGTGGACTTGTTCAATCATGTAGAGCATTCTGATAGCGAAAGCAATGACGAGAGCTTGAGGCATCACTTTTTCAGGGGTATTTTTATAGAGGTTAATGGCATTCTAGAAATAATGCAAATAGTATCCTGAGTTGGTTGTGAAGAAGTGATGAAATTTCAAGTCAAGGGCTTTGCCCCTGTCTACCATCCTGTCTACCATAAGATCTGTGCAAAGATGCAAACCAAAAATGGACTTAAATACATGTTTATATTATTAAAATGAAACACTTACTAATAATGTTCCATAGCTGTAGAGATCGCCTACTAAAATGCTTCCATTCTGAAATAAATGGGCAGAATAGAATTTGATAAACATGTGTCGCACAGTTGGCTTTAATCTCTCCATCAGCTGGGTCCCAATGTAGAATTCCCAGGGGCTGGCAGGCTTCTGGACCTGCAAATCAAATTAGGTATGTGATATTCAAAGCCAGTCTCACATTGTGGAAAACAGTAACAAGAAAGCAACCTCCATCTCAATAAAAGACAGAGTAGAAAGCAATGTCGAACTATGAACTGTTCTGAGGGGGTTTGCTGCAAGATAATTTTATTGGCAAGGCAAATATGAACCCTCATAATATAGATTTTATTTCTTAATTGCTGACTATAGATCTCAAAGAAAACATCACTGCCTTAAAAACAGAAAAGAAAGGAAGGTGACAAATCCAAGTTGTAAAATTTATTTCTATATTGTACAAAAAGCTACTGAAATTATGTACCTTTAAAACACACTTCTGTTTATTTTTGTTATCATTCACATCTCCATGGGTAGCTTCATAGACTTGAGCGAAGGCACCTGTTCCAAGAAGGTGATTGACGTAGACTAGCAAAGAACCTTGGAAGACAGAGGTGACAAAATGACAAAAAGGCTCAAAACATTAAGGACTTATTCAAAAGGAAGAATTCTAAGAACTTTCTTGGTGTTTGAATTGCTTTAATAAATAGAAATGGATGTAGTCCCTTGGGAATATTTTTCCAGATGCAGGTGAAAGTGAAGCAAATACCTGCTACAAAAGATCCTCCTTAGAAAATTTTCTGTAATAGGGAAAAGTAGCTCTGATGGCCCAGGCTATTTAGGAGGCCACTCATCTCCTCCTCAGCAAGGTTCTCACATTTTTCTTCTTTTAATCATTTTTTATTAAATTGTACTTTTAGCTTTATACACTTTCAACATACATTTCAAAAATACGGATTTTTTTATTTTTATTTTTTTCCCCATTAAGTTTATTGGTACATTTTAGGTATACAATACAGTTACATTCATCATTGGGATCTTGT